GTCACCGCTTTGTAAAGCCTGGCTCAATTCATTGAGAATCTGCTCTTACTGTAACAGTCCAGTTGTAAAGGTGATTACTGCACTCCACAATGACATATGTCAGTGTACAAAGCTTAGACCCCATTCCCATAGATTTTAGAACGATCTATCCCTATGGGGAGTCTCACTTGATTACTGCCGGCTTAGCCGGCTTAAGCGTCTGTCCCGCCTATAAAAGCTGTCAGGAGTAATTAACTATGGTTCGGGCTCGGCTGACTGCAATTTAGCGTGAACCCCCAGGGAGTTAGGTCGATCTAAATCTAAATCCCTGGATCGATCTAAATCTCTGTAAATACACCCTTAAAAATGCTTATTCCTGATCTCACAAGGTATAAATTAATGAAATTGCAGTTTTGACCACAGACCTAAAACTACTAGTACTCACATCTCTCTCCCTATCTCTTTTAAATAAAAAATCAAAGATTTCTTTTTCTTTTCTCCTTATTTCTTTTATTACTAGTAGGGACGTTGTCTTATCGCACTGCACTTATTACATTCTAGATTGTATTCAGAGATATAAGTACTAGCATGGCATGTTTTACTCCAGCTACTAACATTAGAAGGTAGCCCTTTTTCCTTTTCATTGTTCTCTGTGTGCACATGAGCAGGTCCATTGACATGTCAATTATCAAGGATATATATCAGTCTTCAAACTCGTACCCGTCATCTAAGTTCACGCATTGACATGAGTTTGACATTATCAATCTTCTACAACCTCTTTAATCTAAGATGAAGGATTCAGTCTTTAGGAGCACAATTATCAATTTGATTAGCTTGACAGACATGCTGAAAACTTTTCAGAATGGCCGGACATTTGGACCGACAGTAATGAAAAATTTGCTGGACCGAATGGATTTTTGTCGGACCAAAAAGCACCCTATTCGTTTGAGACAGATACTACTGGTATGATTAGAGTAGCTTACTTTGTTTGTGAATGTGATAGGTTTGAAATGGAAGGGAAAAACACTTTGAGTTTTATATAATTTTATGAGTTAAGTATGTCGAATGATGACTGTAAATTCAAAATTGCTGCTCTTAAAACTCTTGTCGGTCCTTTGGAGCGACCAAGTCCAATTTTTTACCAGTCCAGACAAATTTTCCCAATCATAACCGATCGGACTGACAGTTTCAGCATGTCTGGCTTGATTATTAATACATCCCTTTACCTCTTCTGTGAATGCTTGAAATCAACTTCATCTTTCCCATTTATGGATCTTTAATTTAAAGTACTAATAATAAAATTGATGCAGTTTTACAGTTATAAACAAAGTGTGTTTTGTTTTATAATGTACTGAGAGTGCATCTGAACTGACGGGCTTAGAAATATTTGTGGGTCATATAAACAGTTATAATCCAATGACTATGCAAAGATGTGACGGAGGGAAAAACCCTGCTCCTGAATGGAAAATCCAGTCACCCTCAGTTTCCTTTTTAAATGTACATTAAGCATTTCTTGCTGAACTAATCTGAGAACAAATACTTTTTTTGCCACATTTTATGCTAAAAAAAGTTCTTTTTCCAGGAAAAGCATACACATACACTGTACACCTATGGGATTCTATTTTACTGAATCACGTGAGAGGTGAACAGTGTATTACCTGTGACTGTCCTTGAGGTCACATCCTGGTTTGAAATAAAAGTGGCAGACATTTCAACATCAACTTTCCTTTTGTTCTATTGCACAATCAAGTTACACTAAAGGGTTACTGTAGAAATCATGATGCATGTGCAGGGGGGGGGGGGGCACTTCTGAGTACATGAAGGCCCTACATGCACTATAACTTATCACATTGTAGCACTCCTTTAGCTATACAATGTACTTCAGTTTGTACAATTTAACACTTTTAAGTTTCACTTAGCGCATACTTTGATACTTCTGCTGTCCTCGAACCTGAAATCTCGACAAAAACTTCCTGGTTGTAACCACACATTATCCCGCAACCAACAGTCCGCTGGTGCTTTATTATCAATATTTAGAGCACAGGCACTACCTGGTGTCATATCAGATCAGAATGACTTGACAGAATCATCATGACAATTCAACATATCATTGGCATACATGGTTTGAAAATGAAACACAAAAGATTTTCAAAACATTTACTGGTGCAGTCATCTTGACAGAACTGTAACGAAACACATAAAATATCTCGTTTCTCTCCCTGCATACCTGTAAAATGTTGTTTCCTAGGAAAACTAAAAGTATCTGTATAACTGTCGACAGTGACATTTCGGTCTTTGGTGTCTTCTAGCTCTTCAAATGGGAATTAATCACTGTATTGTTACGGTAGTAAAATGTTCTGTCGCTCCGAATCTCGATCTATTATTGGAAACTGTGACGTCAAGAAGCAAGGTGCCCGTATGATGAAAAAAATAGGAAATGTTTTATACAAAGAAACGGATGAGAACAAAGAGACTACCGAGCAAACATGTAGATTCTTTGAGAAAAAAATGACTGAACTAGACTTGAATTTAAATATCATGTAGTTATGAATTACGATTGACAAGTTTATGATCTTTTATGTCTGAAGATTGGTTTCATCAAGGTCAAGGCTGTTCATCTCCCAGGAAGCTCATTTAAAATAAAAACATTCCCTGCTTGATATTGGCAGAAACATGGCAGAGAGGCAGTATCACCTTAAATTCGGCGGAAACGCTGCAGCGTCCGTTGACGCTTATTTGGAGTACAAGAGGTACGGACGATGGAGTTTAATTGCTGTTAACTTTGAATTTAACTATTGATTGAATTAAATTCTAACATTCTGTCCATCGTACTGGATTCCTACTGGTAGGCATCGAATAAAGCAAGAAGCACGAGAAAGGAAAACGAAATAAAATTTGAAATGAAATATATACATATATGGAGAGAGGGGGAGTGAGAGAGAAGGAGATAGAGTTTGATAATTAAAGATAATTTGCATTAGAGTTGATTTGGACTAAAATTTTAAATTTTGGCCGTAATTTTTTTTATAAAAATGTAAATATGTACAATCACGTTTACCAGTTTCCAACACACCTGCAATATTTCTTTATTATTATACATATCAACTTAACTTTGACATTTCATTTTCAGGATAGTAGGGGATGATGATGGGGGCAAATTGTTCACACCTGAAGAATATGAAGAATACAAGAAGAGAGTTCTGCCTCAAGTAATAATGTATTTTATAACGTATTATGAAAAACATTAAAATAAATATTGTTTAAATTAATTAGTTTGTGCACATAACTTTATGAAAAATTCATGCATTAGCCCTTCTATGTACTTGTTTTCAGTTGCTAATAACAAAAAGGTACTGTACATGTAAAATCCAATGTGATATGTTTATGGAATTTTGATTTATAGATCGATGGGTGCCTATTTGCCCAGGTATAACCTAAATATTAGTTTTTTTTTTCAACAGCGTCTTGAGAACAGAGTCTACACAGCGTGGACAGCACCAAGTGGCATGGACTGCAAGCTGATTGGTCCAGAAACACCCTGCTTCTGCACACACAGGTAGAATTTACTCTGGCTCAAGATGGTTCAATGATCTATAATGATTATTATTTTGGGGTTTCCATTTTTATCATCATTTTAACAAAGAGCAGAATTTCCAGACCTTCCCCTCCTTTTAACGAGTAGAGGATGTAAAGCTAAAAACATTAATGAGACTTTCCCAACTATTGTCTGAATTCCGACTTTTTCAGGGTCATTTGGGTGAATGGTGTAAATCCAATGAATCGTGTAAATGCTACTTTTTCAGTGAGGACTGGTCTCATGCTTGTAAAAAGTTGTTATTTAATTTTGCAAAGCATTCAGAGAGCATTTACTCTCCCCCAGCGCCCAACTTGAAGACTTGTGAAAATGATGATCAACATGGATGACCTATAGGAAGGTTGTTGTCTATATTGTAAAGCTAAGGCTCCTATGTACACTTAAGCTAACAGAAATAAACCTGTATTATAACCGAAATCGTGTGTTTGTTGAGAGGAGACATACCAGATCCCCAGCATACAGGTGAGGCCCTTACCCCAACCATCATAGACCCCTTAATTATTTCCTATTGAAGGCACAGATGACCTTTACAGTACAAAGCTAAATAATAAGACATTCTTTTTCTTTGAAACCAGGTACAGGCAGCACAAGACAGATTTCCAGACAATTCCTGCTGAGCGTCCTATTCTCCTGCCCTGTAAAGTGAAGGGCTGCAAGTGCTCGTCATATCACTACGTGCCTCTCAACGGCACTCAGCCCATACGCTGCAGCTGTAAACATTTCGCTGATGACCATTCTGAAGTGGGAGCATATAAGTGTAGAAAAGGTGGGGACTGGTCTTTGAATGCTGGGACTACACACAATATGGGGCGTATAAGAGTTTGGATTATCTTAGAATTTAAATGGGTTTGTAAGTGACCATAAATGGTAGAGTGCGGATTGTGAATTTTAAAAGTTGAAAATGTTTTTGCTTATTTATTGTTTTTCTGTCAACTTTAGACAGAAAAAAGGGTACCAATTTTAAAGTAAGTTAAATGCAGCAGTGCCTGTAAGTGACTCTGTTACAATTTGTCCAGAATAATTGAATTAGTACAAATAGATCACAACTAATCATTTTATTCTTCCAAGTTTTGAGAAATTAATGAGAAAAATATATAAATCAAATGTACCTTTTACTTGAATTCAATATAGATTTTTGGGTCCGTTATTTAAAAGCTTCTGTTAAATAAAGATAGTATTAGTATTTTAATTCATTTATCGTACTGTTTTATTTCAAGATGGCTGTAAGTGTCCAGGGTTTAAAAGCTCCTTTACATGTGGCTGTGGGGAGCCCACGTATGTCCACCATATGGTCACTGAGACCAAGGAGGAGAGACTGGCCAGGGGTCACCCCGTGGGGGAGGACGTACCCTATCAGGCCATGGGGGGCCTCACAGGGTTCTCCTCTCTCATGGATGGCTACATGAGGCTGGACCCCAGTGGCGCAGGTGAGGTTGGAGAGTATTTGAAGACATGCAGCCAGCAATTTCTAAAGGGGGGTTCTTTTTCTGAAAAAGTGGACCTTTTTCCATAAAAACGTCATGTACCTAGATCAAATTTTACCCAGAGTGGACCTTTTCCCAGCAAAAGTGGTGGTTCTTTCGAAGCCCCCGAACCCCCCCTGGCTACAGGCCTGTGACAACAGTGTGTGTATGGGATCTGTATAACAGCTGAGAAATGACTTTGTCTGGAAATATCTGCCATTTTCCCTTCATCACTGTCACAATTCAAAACCATTGAGGATATTTTGCACTGAATAGGTTTTTAGCTCTTAATTTCATCACTACAGGAGTTACTTAAAAATGAGAAAACTTAGAATCCAACTCTCTGAATAGATCAAAAGTTTTGTAAACAGTTTAAGAAATGTTATACTTAGGTAATAAAGGGAAAAATACTAAAATTTCCAGGAAATATTGTTTGTATTCAGACAGAATTCTCATCTGTTTATTCCAATTTATTAGTAATTTGTGGTATTTTTTGATAGGCACTCATATCCTCAGAGTAACATTTTTAACCAATCAGATTTTGCTTTACATACAATTGCCCCTCCCACCTTCATCCAACCTATCATATTTTCTATTACATTTCAGGTGCCCCTCCCATTGAGTTCTTGGACCAGCCCATCACATCAGCTGACCACCCATTCCTGAAGGCTAATGTCCAGTCCATCAGGGCACACCAGCTGGCCAGGGGGCCCGTAAGGAAAGCGATACAAGGTCAGAAACCACAACTGTTAACACCATGATTTTAAGGCATTTTTTAGTCATTAATTAATTATTTATTTCTGTCCTAAGAGTATCTTGGTAGAGTGTGATGATTAACTGTTTTAAGGTGCATACGAAGTCAATTTTTTGTCACAAAAACCAACCAAATGCCAGCATATAGTTTCAAGTAGTATAACTAAGAGAATTACCAAAAGGCATTGTTTTATTTTACCCGAAAATGATGTTTGAACGGATTTTTCTGCTGGCATTCTAAGCTGTATGTCAATGGGGCAGGAAAGTAGGTCACGAAAGTGGGTTAAATTTACAACCAAAAATTTAAAGAAAGGAGCAGTCTAAAGGTCTTTTATGGCTGATCGAGTGATCTATTCGCTTTATCCCTTGGCATGTCGAGTTTATTTGAGTCACATAAGAATCTAGTAGAAGTGGTTTACATGTGTTACTGGGAATCCACGCTCCACCGATGCTCAGATCGTATGTACCTTTAAAGCTGAACAAGAAATGATCATATCTATATGTAAAATGTTAGTGTAAATGTTACTCCTAAGTTAACCACACAGGCCCACAGCCAGGGAGGGTTCAAAAGAACTGCCCCTTTTGTTGGGAAAAGGTCCACTCTGGGTAAAATTTGATCTAGGCAAATGAAGCTTTTATGGACAAGGGTCCACTTTTTTCAGAAAAAGACCCCCCCCCCCCCCCCCTTTTAAAATTGCCGGCTACGGGCCTGCCACTCATGATTTTCTGATTTGAAGTTTACCATTATTGACCTTGAAATTTGTCTCTCCACCAGGTGGCAGTGCTGAAGTTGACCATGACCTTGCTGAGAGGATGTCTGCCATGCGAAGGCCTGGGGAATCGGATATGGACTATTTTGAGAGGAGATATCAAGAGAGGGTGAGGCCTATGTTATAACCTGCTGCCCCGCTGTTTAATGCCAAGCATTAAGTCAATGGAGCAATTTTAATGAAATATGGGCAGAACTAATGCAGCCCAAATTGACCAACAATTGATTCAAATTCATCCCTTCATCGATAATTTTGCAGCGGCCAATAAGCCATCTTCTAGTTTTTTTTTTATAAAATTTAATACTGTGGTCGTCCAAATGAATTTCTGTTGAAGCAAAAGAGTTAAAGTGCATGCATGCATATTAGGCTCTGACACCATGAATCAACAATGCCTTAGAAAAATATTTTGGCCTGTAATCTCTAGATTTCAGCAGGTCTTTTAGTTTGCAATATCTTGACACTTTGCCAGTACCTGTGTTTGGTTGTTCCAGGCATTGCTCTCACAAACTGACACAATATTTGCTTGGTGAGCTCTGTCACAACAAACACACTGACACAATATTTGCCTGGTGAGCTGTGTCACAACAAAAACACTGACACAATATTTGCCTGGTGAGCTGTGTCACAACAAAAACACTGACACAATATTTGCCTGGTGAGCTGTGTCACAACTAACACAATCATACAGCAAGCACTGTAATCACATATACTCCTAATAATCTGTCTAACCCAGACATGCCTAGAAGATTTTCAAAATTGCTGTGTTTCATGTTTAAAGCTGGAATAGAGATGTGAGGGCACTGTGAATTCATAACAAAAAGATTACAATTCTTTAAACTTTTCATTGACTCATTTCTCTCTTTTTTAACAGCAAAAAGCAGAACGCATGAAGTCCCGAGGTGCAATAGCAGCACCCGGCAGCTCAAAGCTACAGACTGGCGTACGGAAAAGTGCAACAGGATCCAGCAAAGGAAGAGCAGCATCAGGAGCTAAGTGAGCTCCTCGCAGATACAGCCATAAATATGCCGTCCACGACTTGAAAGAGAAAAGATCTGTTCATATTTCAGTTCCTCCGGTACTTAGTGTGATAATTGGTCTAAGTCTATTAAGACATGAAAAACTGGCTTGATTACTAATGAGCGAGAGTAACCATGGCAGAGGGAAAACATTTACAGTGATAATTAGATGTTAAAAAGTACTATATATTTGTAAAAGATGGCCATTAATTGTGACGTAGTCTCTGAAAGCAGTCTACATTTATCCCATTCCGTCCAGTCCATATCTGTGATTTAGTTCCACATTGAATAAACTGTGGAGAATTTTTTTATGAAATTTTTCTTTTTATGAAACATTCTGTGGAGCTGGTTAAACATGCTTTGTTTGCTGTAATAAACTTGCTCAATTTGTGTTGTGTAACATTTTCTATTTGTATCCACTTTGTTAGGTTTGTACTGGAAGTTGCTGATGCAGGATATAAATTGCTCTTTGAGCAAGATGATTTGTCTGAGTGACTTTACTGTTTATTGGAGTGAATTTACAATATATTTCATTTTAAGATAAACCTCCGTAATAATCTTTAACTTAACTCGAGTCCATGTAACTAAGCCTGAAGGATTTTAAAGGAGTTGTTAATAAAACACTAATTGTGTTAATAGCAGAGGCATTAAAATCAAAATCCCCACTATAGAACATAAGGTGCATACTGCATAAATGTTACCAAGTGTCGAAAATCCCAGCAAATCCAATTTTCACTGTTATAAAAATTCATATATATCTACAGCTCAGTGTGTGCATTTAAAACGGTAAACAATACCACTTTCTGCTATGATGTCAGTTGTGATAATTGCCTTGGTAGATAACTTTGGAGGTGTATACATTGTGATACGAGTTTATTCATTGTAGCAACAGGCCTCTGACCTAAAATACATAACAATTTGTATTTATACAGAAGACATACATAAAGAAATCAATTATCAATACATCATACAGTGAATTATTTCATTTACTAGTGTGAGCATGTTTAATAGTCCTAGGATCCAAAGTGCCTCCTGTGTCCGTCAAGGACTGATGCACATCAAATTTCATTTAAATAATGAGAAATGGGTTTTGAAGTTAAATAATGAGAAATGGGTTTTGAAGTTCAGACTATGTTATCAATCTTCAAAGCTGAGAAATCGTTCGTTAACCATTTGACGCAAGCAATTGGGCTAATTTAGCAAATTAATTGCACCTTCAGGCTTCACCTTTCTTGTTACCATCTTATTGATCGGGAAGGTCTATGCACCAAATGTTACGTGTTAAAATTGGGTTGTTTGTTTCTATCTTCAGGCCTACCCAACTACCAGACTCGGCACCTAAGGATCCTGAATTAACCGGTATATCGGACCACACTACCCGTTTTCAAGGTGTGTGTCAGATCGCATTTCGGAGTATCAGCCAGAACACCGACAGGATGAGCCCTGACATGCTCGGCTGTCACCTTGATTGGATAGTAAACGATTGTCGTAAAATCGCTATATGATTTTAAAACCGGGTGCATAATTTTGAAAGCCACCTAGATGAACCTTAGACTGCCACATTAATCTAATACAATGCAAAAAAGCCCTATCAAAAGTGGTTAAAACATTCAAACCGAATGTCGTTAAGTCCCCATATATCCCCATAGAGACAATAAATTAGATTACTCTAAAGTAAGAGTACAGTTTAAGGTTGTTCAGCCGAGCGTGGATGAGCCCGCAGTCGTGCTACAAAATTTATTCTGGGGTATGATACTCCGAAATGCGATCTGACACACACCTTGAAAACGGGTAGCGTGGTCCGATATACTGGTTAATTCAGGATCCTTAGGTGCCGAGTCTGGTAGTTGGGTAGGCCTGATCTAGATGCCAGAAAATCTTACTTTTGTACGCCAACTTATTCGCTCCACGAAAGCCGCTCTTCCCTGAGAAATGATTGACAGCTGAGTACCTACTCTCGTTTCACTGACGTAATTAATTATAATTGTGCCTGACGCAGTAGGAGTCTGTGCACTGTCTAGGAAGTAACTAAGGAAGCGCTAACAAACAAAAAGCAAATTACTTGAGGTGCAAGCAGAGGACGATGCCACCGTCGTGCGTGGACGCCGCTCTACACACTAAGACGCGAAAATTGAGAAAAAAAAAAAAGAATTACTTTGAGAAATAGCCGAAAGTAAGTCTATGTATCAGCCACGATGCCACAGAGTGCCAATGCCGTAATATGCGAGTTTGAAAGTGTTTTTGAAAAACAAAAATTGCTCTTCAACGTAAATTTTGATGGGTGATGAAAATAGGTTGCTATGCATTACTTTCGTGTCCGTTTTCAACTTCAATACAAGGCATTATATCCCATATACGTGCTCTTCAATTTCTGGATTTAAATATCTGAAATACAGCCTGTTTTTCATTTAAAAAATACAATGTTTAAGGAAATCCCGTCATCTGAGCGTGTAATCTCAGATGTTAACACCCAATCATGTCCAGACTCTCACGACAACGAAACCAGTGCTATCATGTAGTATCGTTTCCCCATTCAGATTCGGCCCTTGGCGTAAAAAGTACAGATTTCCACTGACGACGTTATGCCCCGGTCACATGAATGTTAATTAAATGAGACTAAGGACGTATTCCCAGACATTTAGATCGATCTATCCCCGTGGGGAGTCTCACTAGATTACTGTCAGATAATCCGCCTCAAATGTCCGTCCCGCCTACTACAAGCTGTAAGGATGTAATTAACTTTCGTGCCCGCTCGGCTGACAGCTATTTAGCGTGAACCCCCAGGGAGTTAGGTCGATCTAGTTTGGATCGATCTAATCTCTGGGAATGGGGTCTAATTAAATAAGCTATACCCGGTGTACCATGAAAATGTGACTCCCCAGTCATATTTTCATAATGAAAATGTGACTCCCCACATGAATTTTGACTCCCCCCCCCCCAAAAAAAAAAAAATATATATATATATATATATATAAATCTTATTTTATTTGAGTGTATGACTTTTATATTGTGGTATGCATAATGGATAATACAGCAGGTGAAAATTTGAAGGAGGAAATAAGAAAATTAAAATTGTGTATTTTATCACCCAATGACTCCCCTATGAAAAAGCTTTTTATTTGATATTTACATGGTGATCATTTCAACATTTGCCCCTTTAATATACTTTATGAAGAATATGTTGGAAATATTTGAAAGTTTGGTGGTAAAATATTAGGTGCAAAAAAAAACGAAAAAAATAATCATGAAAAATCTTTATATTCATACCCATGGGATTTGGACTCTCATGAAGAAAAGGCACTATTTTATATTAAGTCACCATACCATTGTTTTTCACATGGTTTGCATTGTGACGTATATTTTGTTAGTATTTAAAAGTTTGGTGGTGAAAATTTTGGTGGAACTTGATAATTTTTGAAACAAGTATTCATCTTACTAACTGTAGGATTTGGACTCCCATAACCTTTTCATAGGAGTCATTGGGTGAAAAAAAAATTTAATTTTCTTATTTCGTCATGAAAATTTTCAAAAAGTGCCAATGTATCCTCCATTATGCATACTTCAAGTTAAAAGTTATATATTCAAATAAAATAATATTTATAAAGGTTTGTGAGGGGGAGTCAAAATTTCATGGGGGGGAGTCAGATTTTCATTATGAAATTTTGACTGGGGGAGTCAGATTTTCATGGGATTCAGATTTTCATGCATGTTACACCGGCACTTACTTTTTTGCGTGTAACTCACGAAAACGACTTCATGTCGTTTATGTTTTACCGCCGATTCAGGATTGCAGCGTGCTTTCCCAACTCCGTGAAGTTAAATGTGCTCTTTCTTGATAATCTTTGAATGTGTTTAATGTAACATTTTCCAAAATTTATAATATAAAGCACAGTACGAAGAAGACTGTCTGAAAATGTCTCTGGATCTGCCCCTAAATTTGCACTTAAAGTTGTTCAAAGTTTCAAGGTTAATTTAGGAATACAGTTTGTTTAATGAAATTGACCCCTCTGTTGGAACAATGTTGCATGTCCATGCAAACGAAGCGCACTATCAGTTGTAGTAACGTATTTTAAAGCTCATATGTCAATGTCTGTAGTGGACATGGGTTTAGTTTTAGCTCCGCCTCCTATTGCCTACTTTGTATATATTCACGCCCTGCTCATTGAGTGGGTAGTTTTTTATCAGTCTCTGTAGATAATAAACGTGTAGTTTTTCAACTCTCGTTTTTTCTCTGAACCGCATATCGACACCCTCCCTTCAGGCACGCACACACGATCTTAGCTTTCCAACCGCGTCAGCCATTTATGAGCGCACGACGTTAACGTTACAGGTTGACACGAGAGAAAAGTTCACAGCACGTTCGTGCAGTGACTTACCTTGGGGCTGACTTTTTTTAAAACTCACATAGTTATACATCCACACGCACCCAAACGCACATAAAAAATCTGAAATCATTAATGGCCTTCTACCTTATAATTATCTGCGCGGCTGAAATACATCCTCTGTATCTTATCCCAGCTAATGGTGCAGTACTCAGGCGACAACCTCTCACTGCGACGCCAGAGCATTCACCTTCCAAGTCACAGAAGAAATGACATCACCAGCTTTTATTAATTCTTAATATGCAACCATAGCAAGCATTTGTTATTTATAGCACATGTGGTAATCATCTACCTGTATCACATTTGCCCGACTCTGGCAGCTAATGTAGAAGCTTATTGAAAGGAAGGGAAGATTCCTCTGGTGGAATAAGAGAGACCAAAGGGATAACACTTTTAAGTGTAATAACACATTAAAATGCATGCGTTAATTGTTAAAAAAGAGGTTTCCACTAAAAAAAAGTGTTAACTTCTTACCTACATGGCATATTACGACGGCGTCGTCGTCGTTATCACACTTCGAACTGCTACCAACGCCGTCATACAAATCTACATACGACTAACAGTGTCTGTGAGCACACTCCCTATATACTGAACTAACAACACGGTTAAACTTTAGTTTTATAAACCCAGTATTTACCTGACTTAAAAAATTAAATGGTTATTTAGCACTTAGGGTCTACTTTGAGACTCTCTCCGCGTTTGAGGCGTCTCAAAGTCACATAAACTGTATATTCTCTTTGCCTACATAAATCCTGCTCTACTTTTCATGGTTGTTAAAGTCCCTTTTGGGCCTGCCAGGGACCCCAAAACGTTTATAATGTACTATTTGGGACTACTTACGTAACAGTAGGCCTACATGTATGATTTTATTTTTGACTTCCATTGTCTTTGACGTTGCTTTTTCAGCCAGTTGAACTGGATATGGTGGTGGCAAATTTAGTGACCTCTAATTTAATAAAGCAATACTGAGTGACGTACCTTTAATTTGATAAAACAATGTCATTGTATACGTAGAGCCAGTGTAAAGTTATAGGGTCTATGTTATATGGATCTGTACGTGCTAGAACTCTTTGAGGCACGACGATTGAAGTATATATATATATATATATATATATATATATATATATATATATATATATATATATATATGTCAGAAGTAACGTTATGTTTAAGTTTTAAAAAATTCATGGGACTTGGGGTTGTTCTCTTGAAGTGCTTACTTGCGCATGTGTAGATACCGAACCGTGGACATATTGAACTTCTATTAGTCTCGTGAACAAACGGAGAACCTGCATGGTATTACGTACAGTATAGTTAAACTGGTAAGGATGACACCTGACATGACGAGATATGACGCGTTTGTAGAAAAATTTTTCTTTTATTTCGAGAAAAATTAGATATGGATCGAAAATAATACATTTCATTGACTTAACCATCGACAGATTATTCAAACATGACTACACTTGTAACTAAATAAAACCATCATGTATTGTATCCAAGCAAAGCGTTTCCATGCAATTAATCCTAAGAAGATTAAGCATTTTACCTTAATTAAAAACCGATAATTACAAAGTGTTCCCATTTTCCATAAAAATGTATATAAACCATATTATTCAATGAATAAGCAAAGGTACTGAATACGACGCGCACAATTTTAACCCCCATTTACCGGTGATTTAACTTGGACAATTTCTGATTGAGGCAGTAGGTGGCGACACATATGTGAAGGTCGTAAAATTAAATTTCTGACTGATGTGCATTCGTTTTTTAATTCATTAAAATGAGTAAAAACGCTTCTACTACTACTACTGCTGCTATTACTACTACTAAATGATAATTAATTCATATTTAAAAATGTCAACATCAATTATTTAAAAGAGGAAATATATATAGGGCCTACTATTATTATCAAGGATTAGCATGTATTTTGTCAATTAATTTCATGGTTTTTTCGTGCATAACACTTATTGATCAAGTTTACATCTGTCACATACTCAAAATCCCGAAAGTCGACTGAAAAGTGAAAGTGGCCAAAGCGAGGATATGTCCAGCAGGCCTACATAGGCTACATAAAGACAAATATCTATAAATCTTACTTCCAGTAGCAATAATTATAAAGGGGTAGTGTTCTTTCTAGAACTCAGTTAGCTAGCAGTCAAGATTGGACTGTTGCTATCAGTTGGTGTGTGTGTGTGTGTGTGTGTGGGGGGGGGGTGGGGGGGGGGGGGGCAGGGTCCAGCCATACATTACATGGGCTTAATTCTGATGCCTTCATTTATGTCAAAATTCACGTGTTAAATAATATGAAGAAAAAAAATATTTGGAAGCCTTGGGAAACAGTGCGACGTGTGTGACCATACTCGATCAAACTTTGCACAATCCGCCGCTCTCTTTTTTTCTCAGTTCCAAGAATATCTCTGCAGGAGCGATCAAAGGCAATGACTCATTAATCGACCCACTCCCTTGAGAAATGAACATCCTGTGTTCATGTAGTGTAAGCACGCAGGAAAAAGTAATCCGAGAACTACGCATTACATTTGCCACACTTAGACAAATCAAAATTGATATAATACTTTATGCCTGCTTATTTTGGATAAAGAGCGATATTTTGAGTGGTGTTATGGCTGATATAATATGTCCTGATAAGGTTGTAAAACCAGGCATCAAGTAGTTCAGTTATTTGGGACACAAATGACGCCAATGCTATTTCTGACCAATCACGGCGTAAGAAAGTGGGTCAAAACGCAATGATATTGCGAGTGAAATCAGTGGTGCGCCGCTGTTGTTTGTAGCTGTGACGCTTTTCGTGTACCTTTGACGTGGCCACTACGTATTCCACAGAATTATCCAGTCCGATTGCGGCAAGTTTGGTGACGAAAAGTGCGTAACTGGTAAGTACTCCATTGAGTAATATCAACAGAACAACATGAAGTTCGGCACGGTGAGTACTTTTCGGGTATTTTGTGCTGATTTTCGTTCACAGAAATGAGAAAAAATCTTATCATGGCTCCTGAATAGAGCATTTTGAGGGAGTGCATTTGGGATATTTCCTAAGAAAAATAAATTCAGTGTTAACCTGCTTTGCCTGCATGATTGTGCTAACTTTGTATATGTTTGTACCTTCAGTGCGTCCCGGTAAATTTAAATTAGATTAAACTTGACAGAAACGAGACATTGCCGTAAAAAAATTAAATCAAGAGATTTTTTTCTATTTGTTGAATGAGAAGAAAAAAATAACAAAATAAAATAAAACAGAAAAGGATCGTATTAAAGTAAAAAAAATTAATTTGTCACCTCATTACTTATTATGTTAACTGATCAGCTGTAACAACGGACAGACCCCCCTCCCCCACTACCAATGTTGTTGTATAATGTTTGACACTGAACTACTAGTAAGCTTATGATATATTTGTCTGTGATACAAAACACTTTTCACTGCATCGATATTTGCACAAGTGATTTTTAAAATTAATTACTTAAAGGAAGCCAGATGTATTTGTTCTGTAGCCATTTTTTCATCATCTACATTGTGTTAAACTGCAGTTTTATCTGTAATGTGGATGACCTTTTTTCGGTTGAAGTTGACATAAATTTAGACAAAAGAAAAAAATTCACCAAAATTGTCTGTAATATGAAAAAATACTTACATTCCACTGAAAAAAGATCTTATTTAAGTTGATAGTTGTAGGATGGAAGTGTGCAAAAACATTTTGAGTAAATTACAACGTAAGCCTATGTTGTGGTCCCTGTTATTTTCTTGTTGATTTATAAAAAAAGCAATGAATCATTTGACATTGATTTTATAGAATTAGATTTTGCTAAATGAGCAAAAAACATCTTTGAATGTGATTTACGTCAGAACCTCTTATATTATATAGTTTGTGCATTATTAACCAAAAGTAGCAGTAACAAGGACAAGCTAGAGAGGAAATAAATGGCAAACAAAGAAATCGGCTTAAAATTAGGTATTGATTTCTGTAGGTTGCGTAATTGTGTAGGTAGTGGTAAGTGTTGTTTTGATTCTGTTTATTCCAGTAAGACCCTTATGTCTAACTGTTGATTATGACACATAATTAAAGTAGTATTAATAGAATGCCCATGCAAGTAAAGCCATATAAAGTTGTATTTAAAACCCATTCTAAGTGCATGGATCTCTTCTATTGAACTAATCTCAGGACAGTTATAACTTTTAAAACATTAAATGACAGATAAATGGCCTTAATCGATATCCGATAATTGCAAAAAATAAATAAATAAATAAACAAATAATAATAATAATCACAATACCTTGTAGACGAGTCATTGGAAATGAATGGCTTTTTGGAAAACCTCTAATGTGCAAGTTTAAATCTTTGGCTTTATTCCAGAATTATTACAGAGTTATGGCAAGTGTCAGGAAAGGAAGATTACAGGTTTGAAAATCAGGAGAAATTAAATACCATTTACCCCAGGATAATTTGTTAGATATGAATGGGACCAAAATCCTCCTTTGTGTACCTCTAATTGTGAGGAAAACGCCATAATATATTAATAATTTAAAATTATTAATTCATAATATATTTTACAAAACATGTCTTGTTCATTTTAATGGGCAGATATGACAGCTATTTTTCAAATAATGCAAAAATAAGGTTGTACCCAAAAGGGTTTGCCTAAAGGGTCAATGACCCATGAATGGACACCCCCCAATGATATACAAATAATAATAAAAAAAAAAATAAAAACTACTTTAGTACTAAAAATGACAATGTGTACATTTAAAAACGACAATGTGTACATCTGCAACGACCCACCCAAGTGCAAACGTTCTCGGGGTCAAAGTGCTCCACCAGAAGAGCACCATAGTGCTCTCTGACAGATCGTCTAAACATTGATCTGCCAACCCCTGAACGTGTGCAAATGGGAAGGGCGTTCCAGATGGGAACAACGTGTTTGAAAAAAGACTGGCAAAACGTTTCGGTTCCACAGAAGTTAGCACTGTGGATGATAAAATGATCTCCCCTTCTTTCTCTAAAATACAAATACTTCGTATGATCAAGGTCAGCCCTGCCATTTCAAGCATTACTACCTGTACAATTGTTTCGAATTTAAATACAATAATCATATTTAATTTTTTTTTTCATTTTTAGTTGCTCACAATGTTCTCAGGCATGAAGAAAGTAACATGATGTTTAAACTTCTCAAAATTTATGAGTTTAGGGCCCTTGGAGAAATTTCTTAATTAATATCATATGAGTTTAGAGATATGTTGTCTTACCTGGCGGCTGTTCTGTTGCAGAGCTATGGACATGGTCAACGACAGTGAAGTGACCCCAGGCCAACAGACTGACCTTGGAGACACAGGACAAAATATCTCAGTAGTTCACGTAGCTATCCCTAACCAGGCTGTACAGGTAGGTAAAACAGGACAAAATATCTCGGTAGTTCACGTAGCTATCCCTAACCAGGCTGTACAGGTAGGTAACACAGGACAAATATCTCAGTAGTTCACGTAGCTATCCCCAACCAGGCTGTACAGGTAGGTAACACAGGACAAAAATCTCAGTAGTTCATGTAGCTATCCCTAACCAGGCTGTACAGGTAGGTAACACAGTACAAATATCTCAGTAGTTCATGTAGCTATCCCTAACCAGGCTGTACAGGTAGGTAACACAGTACAAATATCTCAGTAGTTCATGTAGCTATCCCTAACCAGGCTGTACAAGTAGGTAACACAGGACAAATATCTCAGTAGTTCATGTAGCTATCCCTAACCAGGCTGTACAGGTAGGTAACACAGTACAAATATCTCAGTAGTTCATGTAGCTATCCCTAACCAGGCTGTACAAGTAGGTAACACAGGACAAATATCTCAGTAGTTCATGTAGCTATCCCTAACCAGGCTGTACAGGTAGGTAACACAGTACAAATATCTCAGTAGTTCATGTAGCTATCCCTAACCAGGCTGTACAAGTAGGTAACACAGGACAAATATCTCAGTAGTTCATGTAGCTATCCCTAACCAGGCTGTACAGGTAGGTAACACAGTACAAATATCTCAGTAGTTCATGTAGCTATCCCTAACCAGGCTGTACAAGTAGGTAACACAGGACAAATATCTCAGTAGTTCATGTAGCTATCCCTAACCAGGCTGTACAGGTAGGTAACACAGTACAAATATCTCAGTAGTTCATGTAGCTATCCCTAACCAGGCTGTACAAGTAGGTAACACAGGACAAATATCTCAGTAGTTCATGTAGCTATCCCTAACCAGGCTGTACAGGTAGGTAACACAGTACAAATATCTCAGTAGTTCATGTAGCTATCCCTAACCAGGCTGTACAAGTAGGTAACACAGGACAAATATCTCAGTAGTTCATGTAGCTATCCCTAACCAGGCTGTACAGGTAGGTAACACAGGACAAAATATCTCGGTAGTTCATGTATCTATCCCCAACCATGTTTGAATGTACTTAGATCAGAATTGTAATACTACAGTCATCCAAGAAAAATGTTTCAAAGCATAATTCAAGCTTTACAAAGTCAGAGAAGCCTGCAAATTGTTCCTATGTTTAATACTATAATAACACAGTGTTGACAATTAAATAAGTGACATAAGCAGGGTTTGACATTAAAGGGTGGTCCACTGGCCCTGGGCCACTGAAAACCAACCTAGGGCCTTTGAGTGGATGGGGTCACTGGCCCAAAGAGCAAGTAAAATGTCATGTGTCAAATCATCCTTGCAATATTTATCGGAAAAAGTTAGTGTCAAGCCCTGATATGATGGTCACCACCCTGATATAAGCTGTCAGTGTATTTGCTGTCTTAGGTGCAGTCAGTCATACAGCCCACCAGTCAACCTTCTGTGATTCACACGACACATCAAGGCAACACAATCCACGTGGTCACGGAAGACGAGTTTGAAGAGGCCGAGGGAAAGAAGAGAAGAGAAATATTAAACAGGCGTCCATCATACAGGTATGGTGTACAGAAATGTTGATGCATCAGATGTTCAACTTTCTCGTAATAAGTGTCATTTATATTAAAAAGGCATTAATATTATAATGGGCAGAGAAACAAAGAGCAAAACTGCATTTTTCACATGTCAACTGAAGTGAAAGTAGAAGAAATTCCTATATCAGCTAATTCAGCTGGAGCTCTAAGTTAGGAAGAAGTTGTCCTTAAACATCTATTTTAGTTTGAACCTAGATAGGCTGACAGGGGGATCCCAAGGATTTGGGGGGGGGGGGGGGGGTCCAAAGTGTAAATCTGTAATTTTGTTCATGTATTTATAGGGAGTCCAAACCAAACAAGCCCAACCAAAAAAAAATTTTTCTTTGAGGAAAACTTTGTAGGCTTCTGATTTTTTGAGCTGTTTACAAAAAGAAAAAAAGTGTTCAGATCTCATCAACAGTTGTCTTAACCCTACAGCAAGTTTTGAATATTAAAAAACTCTTATCTCTTTTTGCATCATGGCTAGTTTGGTTGAGAGACTTTTAAATGTGATATCCTTTTTCCATTCAGAAAAATCCTGAACGAGCTGTCATCAGACACGGGCGGCATCAGCGGGATGACGAAGATCACGGAGGAGGACTCCAACAGCAGTCAGGAGGGTATGGAAGCCGCGGACGGGGCTAGCAATCTCAGTACGTCACAACAACAGAATGTGGTTGTGTCGGCGACGTCTGTCGCAGCGGCTGGTAATACTGTTCAGTACCAGCAGGCAGGCGGCACTGTCACAGGTAGTCACCCGTCTGTCCCTCCCTAGGGGGGGTAGGGCTCTGATCTCTAGGTGCTCTATAGACTACATAGATCTGATCATGTCTGTCCTCCATAGTGCTCTTGTCTGGAAGCTGTGTATGTAGATGGTAGTTTGATCAGGTCTTTATTTTGGGGACTATGAAAATTTTTAAACAAGCTACTATCTAGTAGAAGTGGAAATGTTAGGCAAGACTTCTCTTATGTATATTGTCATTATGAATGCTGTCCAGCTTTCCTGTATATATAGAAGATGTCTTCAGTTTTTGCTGGCCATGCACACATAGTTAATGATACTGCTGTGTCTAGCACTGACTGTTGTTGATGTTGTCATCATTGTTACTGTAATGATTATCATCAGGGTAGAAGATGTTTGTTTCTCAGAGTCATTTCTTCTGTTTAGTATGCATGTATGTGTGCCTGCCCACTGCAAACAATTTGCCTTCTTAGTAGAAACAGTCAAGTTTTTTGGAGGGAGATTTTGTTCTGTTGTATTCTGTATATTGTTTTAATTCAAATTTTTATTTTGCCGTTATTTGTTTTTAATTAAGTTGATGTGTGCAACTTTTGTCTGGTGGCATTCTGGGATATTGACTGAGGCCGACTTCACATCAGTTTCAACTGAAAACAGCTCAGCTTTAGAAATGGACAAACCACTTAATCAGTTGTAAAATTAAGTCACTAATGAAGATGATTCTTTGGGGTTGGAAACTGTTCAGAGGGCCACCTTAGTCAGTGGAAAGCAATTGTTAATGGTTTTGTTTGGTGACTGCCTTATTTTAAGCTCAAGGTTTTGATTCGGCTTGATATGAACATAGTCATACTTACCTAGCTCTGTTGAAAGCACTATCAGCCCGATTTTCTGTTTGTGGTAGCTGAACAGTGGAAAGTCCGATTCACACCAAGTCCTATAGTCATGCCAATGAGGAAGAAGTTAGCACAGCTTTGTACTGTCTGATAGAACACTGTATAATCTGTGGCAGAGGATTGTTTGTTACCTTGTGCTACAGCCACAGAGGACTGGCTGCTGTGTTGATATAGCTTCCTCATTGCTGTGGCATTAGTTCAGCTGGCTAAAAACTGCTATATCTCCATGGTAACACAGCCACAGTTTTGTGCAGTTGTCTAGTCATGTTATGTCTGCCTGGTGTAGTGTGGTCACAAAGCAAAAGTGGCTTTTTTTTTTGCTCATTTATTTCTCCCCCAGTCCTGTAGATATGTGTAGAAATACAAAGGTACAATACTGAGGTTGCATGCTTAGCTGTCCCCACACTTAAAGTAAACTTGATAAATAACGATGAAAGCTCTTGACATGTTAAAAACGAGCTTTCTTGAGTAAGCAGAGTAACATTAATGTCCATTACTAGTATTTAACAAAAGGATTTAAAAGTTCTTTTAACCTACGTGATAAATAACTTATGATGAGTAGGTTACTAAGTGCAGTGCAAGTTGTATTCAATTTTGTTTGTTAAAAAGGAACTCTAGAGTTGGTACAGAACCTTTGAAATCCATTGGATTTATTACCAAATTTAAGGGACAACAGTGCTGGGTTAACAACAACAGGCATTTTAAAGCAAATTAATGGAAAACTCCATATTTTTTTGCCAAAATTGGTCAGTTGAGAGAAAAAAGAGAGAGAAAAAAAGAAAAAAACAAAAAACAAAGTGAAATACATCTTTGCACATACAAAGCACAGTGTATATTTTAATGTTTTGGTTGTGAGTGAAGTGAAGTACTTGTATTTGTCCCGTTGTGTTCCAGTAGTTCCCACCCATACTATCCAAATAGCCTCCCATGGTGACGGGATACCACACACAGGTGTCCAGACACTGACCATGTCCAACACTGGACTGGTCACCTCGCCAGGGGGAGCCACTATTGTCCAGTATGCACAGGGGCCAGATGGACAGTTCTTTATACCAGGTAAAGACTGTCATCCAAATTTCCTGTTACTGTTTTCTCCAAGATTTTATTGTTTTTTTTTTTCTATATCTGAGCAGAACTAAAGTTGGTTGTTGAGATTTGTATTAAAGAGTTTTGATACTTCATTAAAAATTGATAANATCATTACTGTCTGGTGACTGTGACCCACTACTACAGCAGATATCCAATTCCATGGATGATGACATTGATAACACTATGTCTTATTGGATCATTACTGTCTGGTGACTGTGACCCACTACTACAGCAGATATCCAATTCCATGGATGATGACATTGATAACACTATGTCTTATTAGATCATTAATGTCTGGTGACTGTGACCCACTACTAAACTAGATATCCAATTCCATGGACGATGGTGAACACTTATTTGATCAGTATGTGATACAATATGACAGTGACGTACATTTTATATATTGTGTAATGTGTTTCCAATCAGTGTTGTTATGGATTATCTCGGTTTCTGAATATAAACCCAGTACAACTCCTAGTTCTGGAGGCAGAGACACACTGTAGAGGTACATGTATTGTATTACATCAGCATTGTTCCCCTGTAGAGTTAAGGCAAATGGGAGCTTCTGCTACATATTTTCCGTTGTATATTTCCTGCATTTTAACTTTTAACACTCTCAAACCTGGCGATGTTATGATGGATACTGGATATATCACCAGTCATTGATTTTGTAAATATAACTGAACACAGTGTCAAAGTATTTCAATGCTGTGGAAACATTAATCTTTACTTCTTCTCATGTGAATACAGGTACCTACAGAAATCGTTTATTAAGACTTGAGAGCGTGATTTCATGGACATTTTGGAGAAGTGACATTGGCGAGCAGTTCCTCTGTGTATAACCCCGTCATTATACTATGTTTGTGTATAGTCTGTCAGTACCTCTATTGTAACATAGTGTACATGTTTTGATATTGTATATTCATCTTTTGGTTCATATATTAGTAATTCATTAATCGTGCATCATCAGTATATTGTGTATATAAGATAAGTCAAATCACCCATCCATCCCAGATTTTACTAGTGAATTAAAAAAGATATTTACATTATAACATCAAAACAACTGTACAGCCTTTGAGATGTTTACAGACTTTTTGCCTCTATTGTATTGCCAATTTAGTCAAGATTTCAGTTAAATTGCTTGTGGCTGGCAAAGAATTATTAAGGATATGGAAACATTAATGATCAATGTATATGCAACCATTTTGCCACAACTTTTTCAGTTTGTACTAGACAACTTCTTGACTTACGCCGTGAATGTGAACCAAAAACCTAAGGTGAAATATATGGAGAGATATCATATGAAGTCCTCCATGTACATAAACGAAGTATTCAGTCCATTGTTGACACATATTCACGACATATTTTCAATCAGACTTATACAGCAGATGGATTCTTGGAGTTTCTGGGAATTAACGTCTTAAACCAGCATACCACACGCAGAAATGGGTTGCTAACCCCTGAAACTGAAAAAACTGAAAAGACAAAGGATAATTCTGGGTCAAATATGCTAAGAAATGTTATAAAATTTAATCTTTGAGAAACTTCACTGGACCTGTTCATCTTTATAACTTTTATTCTATCCCTCTGTGTAGTAGAAATGCAGATCTATACCTGGAATAAATTTTATAACCAAAGATAATCCTTTTTTGTTAGTCATTTAGAAAAGGATAATGTCTAAATTTATTTTAAATTTGTAACACATTTACAGATGCAACTATCTTTCAAAGTTCCATACACGTTGCGTATCAAATATAAATACAACTAAGGGTGACATTTTATAATTATTGGAGTTCTGTCCCCTATGCCGTGAATTTCAGTTAAATTAAATCAAGTCCAAGTCCGTGTTTGTTTTCATAAGCGATACATAGGCACTGGTTCTTACTAATTTCTACCCAGGAGCAGTCATAGTCCTAAATTTGGATGTATAGATTAAAAATAACATTAGAACCATTTCAGAAGTCCACCTACCAAGCTGACTTTCAAGTGAGTTTCACTATGACATCCCAGACATGAATACCACGGAGGCAGTATGAGATGATAAAGTAAACCGTCTTCTGATTTCAATTGCATCAGCAGTACTTGGCACCGCTATCGCAATCCTTATGTTGCTGAAATGCATCAAAAGGTGAAAGCGATAATTGTGATGCTCAGCGAACACAATTGACACCATACTGTAAACTATCCACCCAATACTGACACTTCTGCCGTAAAGATGATAAGTCCAAACCGGGCAGTGCATATAATTACACTTTTTAATCTCAAGTTTTAATAGTGTGAAATGCACAACATGTTTACAAACAGTGCCCCACTTAAATGTTATGTTGTGAAATTTATTGAACCACTTCAAAACCCCATAAGTTGAGTTGTCCCCTTACCCTAGTGNTTTGGTCCTTAACAAGCCTACTAAATGGGTTGCTAACCCCTGAAACTGAAAAGACTGAAAAGACAAAGGATAATTCTTGGTCAAATATGCTAAGAAATGTTATAAAATTTAATCTTTGAGAAACTTCACTGGACCTGTTCATCTTTATAACTTTTATTCTATCCCTCTGTGTAGTAGAAATGCAGATCTATTTTGGAATGAATTTTATAAGCAAAGATAATCCTTTTTTGTTAGTCATTTAGAAAAGGATAATGTCTAAATTTATTTTAAATTTGTAACACATTTACAGATGCAACTATCTTTCAAAGTTCCATACACGTTGCGTATCAAATATAAATACAACTAAGGGCGACATTTTTATAATTATTGGAGTTCTGTCCCCTATGCCGTGAATTTCAGTTAAATTAAATCAAGTCCAAGTCCGTGTTTGTTTTCATAAGCGATAGATAGGCACTGGTTCCTACTGATTTCTACCCAGGAGCAGTCATAGTCCTAAATTTGGATGTATAGATTAAAAATAACATTAGAACCATTTCAGAAGTCCACCTACCAAGCTGACTTTCAAGTGAGTTTCACTATGACATCCCAGACATGAATACCACGGAGGCAGTTTGAGATGATAAAGTAAACCGTCTTCTGATTTCAATTGCATCAGCAGTACTTGGCACCGCTATCGCAATCCTTATGTTGCTGAAATGCATCAAAAGGTGAAAGCGATAATTGTGATGCTCAGCGAACACAATTGACACCATACTGTGAACTATCCACCCAATACTGACACTTCTGCCGTAAAGATGATAAGTCCAAACCGGGCAGTGCATATAATTACACTTTTTAATCTCAAGTTTTAATAGTGTGAAATGCACAACATGTTTACAAACAGTGCCCCACTTAAATGTTATGTTGTGAAATTTATTGAACCTCTTCAAAACCCCATAAGTTGAGTTGTTCCCTTACCCTAGTANAGTGTTTTATTCACACGGGATATTAGCTACTGTAATTGTTAAAATGCAAAGTTTTGGGTCACATAAAAGTATTGGACGCGTATATATCGATATTTTTCTCTACAGAGCAAAACCCCTTTTTACAGCAGGTCCGCTTTGGCTAGAATCAACAGCAAACATCGACCCAAACTTTGTCAAGTGGAATTTTTACGTGTCTTTTATTCAGTTGATGTGTGTCTAATTATCGCGTTTGATCAATTGATTCTATTGAAACGCTGCATTCACTTAGAGTCTGATTAAGTAGTTATAGTGTTTCCTTTGAGCAAGCCAATTAATTCAGTTTGATTTGCGAGGGGTAAATGATAAATCCTGCTATATGCAGCATTTGTGACGGGTATATATTTTAACTTTTATTCACCTCACGATTTTATTCAGTATTGTGTGCTGTATCGAGAAACTTCGCACCTGCCCCAGTGAGACAACGAGAGGGAGGAGAAACAAATTTCAAATTACCTCAGAGGTTAATAAAAAAATGTTTGACCTTTTGGTCACAAAAGTATTGGTCGAGTATCCATCAATATGTTTTTGTACAGATCAAAACTTTCACAACATGCCCGCTTTGGTTGGAATCAATACGTAACTTTGACTCATTCTTTGTCAAGTTGAACATTTGTATCCGTAGTCGTCAATTTTTGATGTGTGTCTTTTATTTGATTGGTTTCTGGCTAATTATGGTGTAGAATCAATTGATTCTGGTCGAACTACTTTACAAAACTTGGTTATCGGCATTGTGTACTTGGAAATTCGCTATATATTCGAGCAACAGTTTGTTTTTGGTAGCGATCGTTAAGTCATTATCTTTTTTATAGTCCAAGTAAGAAGTGAAATGCCGTCGACTTATGAAACAAAATCAAGCGGACGGTACCCTTTTTTAAATCTAGGTATCTGGCTGATCTCAAACTAAGAATTTGGGCGCCACTGGATCCATATCAGGGTATTTTACGCCACTTGTCCTAACAAGGTCAAAAGGGCAGGGCGTGGCTGGTCTACGTTTATGTTGTGACTTTTTTGACAGGAAAAACGCTAGGATTCAATCACAGACACATTGAGGATGACCATGACAGAAATTCCAGATACTCTAATTCATACCTCTGATAACCACTGCTACAACTAAAATAACAAGGTAAGTAAAGTTCCCCTCCCCTGCCAAAAGCCTTATTTTTCCGAGTCCCAAGTTCGGATTGATAAAAGATTGAGAGGCCAGATCTGTGGCCGAAACACATGACAAAAACACTCCACTTGATTCTTTAATGAACAAAAACATGTAAAAATTGAATAGTTTTACAAAAAATGAATAAATAAATAAATAAATAACAAAATAAAATAAACGTTTGAATGAGATTATTGTTGATTGTTCTCTTCAAAGAAGGCACTATATAACAAGACAAGATTGAATTGTAGCTAAATAATACGAAATTTATCCTATCTACTCTTATGAAAGAAAGCTAGTAGAATGAATGGAATGTTGAAAGATATCATGACATTTTATCTGACAAGATTTGTTGTAATAAGATACTACATGTAGATATTGTTCTAAAGAAAAATGGCACTATATGTACAAACGATGGTAAAATCTTAAATGGTGTATTAAACAGGTCATCAGTGTCATACATTCCAAACCATATGCTGCTTACTTTAGTATTAGGTTTGATGAGAAGGTTTATAAAACATGTCATTATTATTGTAAACTTGGAC